AATAATAAGTGCGCTTAATAATGTGATTAGTGATTGATTGGAACTCAATCACCCACTAATGCATTTCCTCATGAATGTTATCCATGTGCACTATGTTTAAATTTCATGAAAAGGATATCCCGAAATTAATAAATTTAAAAAAATATATATAATTTTAAATTAATTAAAATACATATACTAAATAAGTGAATTTTAGAAAATAATGTAATTCAAAATAATTCAATTTATTAAAATAAATAAATATAGTGTAGATTCACTAGTCACCCAAGGAGGATTTGAAAATATTTTAAAATAATTTTTAATTTTAAAATACTTAGTATATTAGTTATTTAAACAACCTTTAAATAATCAAGGAATCCAATAATAAGAAAATAAAAAAAAGTAAGCCTTGCTGCCTGAAAGTAATTATAAACAAAAATTCATAATTTCCTGAAAAATTTAAGGTATTATACATAATATTCCAATTTAAAATAAATTTAATATGAATTATAAAAATTTTAAAATAATTAAATGCTATTTTAAAATAAAATTAATATATTTAAATATTTATATTTTTAAATTAAAGGTATAAATTTTCTAAAAATTTCAATATGTAATATGTTTTTTTTTAATGTAAAAATATTTTTCAAATATTTTTTGAAGAAATATGATAAAAAAACTTTAAAATAATTAAAAAAATGCATTTTTAAATAAAACCAACGACGGCAGCTCGCAGGTTGACGCTTGGCGGTCCCTGATTCGACCTACGGTCTTGGTTTGCCGGAGATATTGCCGGCGGCGGCCTTGACCGACGGGTTTTGACTTTGGAATCGTGGAGGAGGATTGTGGGAGCTCAAGCACAAAAGAAATCGGCTTGAGAGGGCTTGGGAAAAGAGAGATTACAAGAGAGAGAGTCAATGAGCCCTAATAAGCCTATTTATACCCTAACCCTTGGATTAACGGCTAGGATTCAATCAAGAGTGAATTAGGAGGGAGGGAGGTGATTAGGCCGAGATTTGAATGAAGAGTGGATTTGGAAGGGTTTAAATGGCTTTAAGGGGTTTAATTTGACCTAAAAAGGTCAAATTTGATCAAATTAAAGCTTGGGTTGATAAAGTCAATGGTTGACCTGGTCAACCCAGTCAATTAGGTCCAAGGGGTGGGTGTTTGAGCCTAAGGAAGCTAGGATTTAAATTAGAACGTGGAATGACCCATTTAGGCAAATTGAGTCAACCTGGGTTGACTTGGTAAATTAAGTTGACCCAGGGCATGGGTCTGAGCCCAATGGATTAGGTTTGACCCACTGAGTCCAAGGGGAAAGAGGATTGAGCCAAGAAAGATCTGAATTTGATTTGAAATCAAGAGAAAGGGAATTGGGTCAATTTGAGTCAACCTAGGTTGACCTGATCAACCAGATTTCCCCAGGGCCTGGGTCTAGGCTCAACAGACTTGTTTTGACCCACTGAACTTAAGGGAAAAGGTCTTGGGGCTTGGCTTGGTCAATTTGACCAGGTCAAACTCCTTGACCCTAGGTTTAGGCAAAAAGTAAGGTCGACATGGAATAAGGAACATCCACTTTGGCATGCCTACATTTATCCTTGCTGCTATGTTAATATGTATGAAAGCTAATCATTGTAAAGTTAACATCCACTTTAATTAGTCCAATCCTTTGAAGGAATTGATTTCTTTTGTAGGTAAAAACAAGCTTAAGAAGGTGGAATTTCAACATTGCATGACAAAACTCATTGGTGTGTTGGTAATGGCATTGTCCGAGTGGAGTGCCAAAAACTCAGAGACCTAGGGGCCACAAAAAAAAGAGATTTAAGAATTTTTTGGAGAAGAAAAATTGCAAAGATCAAAGTGAACATAAATGTGGCGGTGCGGCTTACTTGGACACCATAGAACGACATGCATGAATTATATTTGATGTTCATTTTGTTGAAATTTTTTGTGAAAGACTTTTTGTTTGAATTATCTAAAAGGAGAATAAGTTCATTGGAAGTCCTTTTTTTTTTGTAAAAATTTCTTCGAAACAGAACGATCATGTGTCATTAAATGATTACGTAGTACTTATAACACATAGAAAACGTAAAAAAATACACTTTTGATAACAAATCCTAATTTCTTGACAATATTTAACAATACAATAGTTAACATTACAATAGGTGACAATACAAGAGCTCACCAAAAAAGATCATTCGAATGTAAACACTAATATATCAATTATAACCTGGGGTATCGGTATAGGAAAGCTAGCATTTGTATTACAACCAGAGTAACTAATAACAACTTGATCTAGAACAACTCATATTTTACAGTCTTCAAATTCTCCAAATTAATGCCCTCTTCTGGTCTTGGTGTTCGATAATGATTTATGTTTGACGATGTTTGATCGGCCTCATCACCCAACTAAAGAAATTGCAATCATATTTTATCATGTTGCGAGGGCAATGATGAAATCTTTGGCCCTGATTCTCACTTTAGTATATTTCATATATAACAAATTGCAAGTTACAGTAACAAAATATTTGTGTCATGTTCATGCTTGTCGAACCTGTCGAATATCTAGAAGTCATCATATAATAAGGCCAACAGACAAATAAATGCAGCTTTAGAACATCTTTCTTAATATAAGAATAGAACAAATTAGTTCTATACAAATGGGAGACATAGCAGCAAAAGAATCAATTAACAATTCCTGTGAGTGCCGCCAACCAACAAATGGAGACCATTGTTGAGAGTAGAGAAACAAACCAAGCAACCAAACTTAGATGCAAGCAAGATTCATCTATGGAGATGACATTATAGAAACAACAACAATATGGATTGCTTCTCCTACTATCGACACCATGGCCGTCCAATAATCCCACTAGATGTGGGCTATGTTCGCAACATAGATCATCCAGCTAGAGAACCATCCAATAGAAATCAAGCTCGTTTTCATCATTGCCTGGACTAGCGTAGCACAACTCAGAGGTTACATTTCTCTCACAACTCCATCATAGCACAACACACAGAAGTACATCCAAGCAACGACCCATCTTAGTGAAATAAAGCATCCCACCAACTGTAGAAAACCATAAACCAACACAGGTATTATATATTCCCTCACAACTTTAGTAACCCAAAAGCATGAGTCGTAAGACCACAAAGATGAATACATATGACGATCTCTAACAAGTATTCCATCTAATTCTCTCACAAATGCAACAAAGCAGAACACAATAAACCAGCATAGGATTTGCAAAATTCTAATGCCATAAAAAAATTTCTCTTGAAAAGCACCCAATGAACCAAAGACAAGCAAAAAATACAATGTAAACCAAATTGCATGTCGTCACGCAGGAAATCGACGAAGAATAGGTTGAAGGAGACTATCGTTTAAGCAACTAAGGGCTGGCATGCGGGATATGAGCAAATTAGAAGTTTGAGGTGTGGGTGGGGTATATTAAAGATTTGAGGTGTTACATAAGGAAATAAAGAAGTTTCAAATGCTATGCAAATAAAATCCCTAAAAAAACATTAGCATGATAAATTTTCCTTCCATTGTAATAAAAAAATAAAGTTATTTGGCACGTCTTAAAAATCACTATTATTTTTTTGTTTTGTTTTTTAAATTCAATATAATTTTATATTAAATAAAATTTATATTTAATTATTATAGCCTATTATTAATTTTATTTTATGTAGTGAAACAAAAATTTATTGTTGTTGTCACGTCCTCATCTAGCATTAATTTTTAAATTTATAGTGTATATTACAGACGAGATGAAGCACCGTTATTTGTTGAGACCTTTGATGAGGCATTCAGGAAGAGGCATTTGATTAAAATTAGTTTATTTATTACAAACTATAAAATGATTATACTTCACATTATTAGTATAATTAACTAATTTATACTTTCAATTATTTTATTCAAAGATCTAAGAGCCATTGGTTAATAGCATATCAAAGAAAGAGATGGTGGATTTTAGGGGTGTGAGCCAAGCCGGCTCGAACTTGACTCGTTTATGTCTTGCAAATTGAGCTTATCGAGCTCATGAGTCGTGGTCGAGCTCAAACTCTAGTCTGCACGTGGTACAAGTGCGAACAACCGAGAACAGGAAAGAGAGCGGAAGATGACCATGAGCTCACAAGCCTACTAGAGTTCAATCGCACCTTCCGGCTGACAAGCTGAGCTCAATAAGATCAAAACTTGACTCTTTTACACCCTTAAGTGGATATATTCATGCATGTCTTGGAGAGACTCCACATTATAAGAGCGAATTTTAAGCTTCATTTAAACCAATTTTCTTGTAAAAAATATATAATTGAATGAAATTTTGAAAAAGAAAATACTTCAAAAAAAATTAAAAAAAATAATCCCAAAAAGACTGGATGCCCTGTTCACATTATACTCTTGGTACCGATGAGGAAGCTTGACTCGATGCCCGGTTCTAATTGAACGTTTTAATTTTGTAACTCAACATGTAATCTTTCTTTAATAGTCCGTCCACTAACATTTCGTTTGAGATAATTTTTTACCTGTTTTTTTTATACCAGCTTAATAATAATTTGTTTCTTAAAAAATTTAAAAAATAATAATAATTTATCCCAAAGAAAGCCTAACATTTTGATTATGATTCATATTTGAGTTATTATAGGTAAGCTGCCTCGCTCTTGAGCAAATTTTATAAGTAGTTTGAACTTTTACAGCTCCTATTTTCTTTATTAGCTGCAGCAAATGATACCATCATTAATTTAAGAAACTAGGTAAAAGTGTTCGAGAAAGAAAAATTTTTGACCTGTGATAATGTCAGTGCTTAGTACTTCACAGGAAAAATTTGCTAAAAATTAAATTAAAAAATATTAATTGTAGAAGAATTTGATTGAAGAGCTCTTCTTTTGTAAACTTCTTTTCTGATCAGTCTGGTTAACCACACATTTTGAGCACAGCAAAATCTACAAAAAAATCAGATTTTTTTGGTCAAATTAGATCTTTAAATTATTGAATAATTTTTACCATAAATACAGTACATGAATAATAAATCCAAATCTATCTTATAATCATCTGAAAATAAATCCATTAATTTAAAATCCATCCTGCCAAAATTTTTTGAAGTGAACAGAGGCATACGGCACCAACATATAAATATTTAAAAAAGAGAGTTCAGGTTCACTGAGACTCTTGGAATTGCAAATCACAGATGTATAATTACTGAAAGCAGCAAAAATCCCTAAATCACAAAGACATCTATCATCATTACGATGAGCATAGCTACAGACTTCCTGAAATCTTCCAGTATTGTAGGCCATGGAGACACTACTTGGATCTTTGTAGTGCCAGGTCAAGAACTTTTCGGAAAAATTGACGGGGATAAATAGGAGGATTCTCTGCAAGTGCCTACACATAAAAAAACTAGTTGGTTAAGAGCTTAATGGATTATTAATGATTAGAATCATTTTACTTGATTCTTAACTACCTGATGAATCAATACAGTAGACGGAGTCATCCCAGGAACTGTGTTAACCTCTATCACCAGAACCTACACGTCAAAATATATCTGTAAATATAATTTTAGCCAGCATTCTACAAATATGAAGAACAACACGAGTTTCGGGAAACTCTGTGATTTTCTGTATTGATATACAAGGAATGAGAGAAATACTGCGAAGCTGAAGTAGAAAATTCATTAGATATGAAATAAAAAAAGGTTGTCTACGGGATCCATGGCACACTACCCAACTGATGCAACGCTGTTGTCTCCTGGAGGTGTGATTGAGGTTTTGTTTGAGACGGCTTTCTTACTGCTTTTTAAAATAGTTTTTAGTACAATAATTAACTTTTTTTAACTAGAAAGCTGCTTCAAGAAGCATAAAGAAATCTGTCCCAAACAAAGCCTAATATGACACAATAAAGGGAACCGAAGAACTGCTTCAAATTCGGCGTCTAGAAGGGTTCATTTGGGAAGGTTTTTTTTCCACTATTTAACATTTCAAAAAGCCACCATAATTTTATTTGACTGTAATTTTCTAAATGTTTTGCAAAAAATTTTCTGATGAGAAGCAAACTTTAATAATCATATCTATTAGAGTATGATAGCTGTTAGAAAAATATTATGTAGCATTAACTGTTTCCAAAAAACTCAAACTCATTTTGGATAGAAGAATGTTAATACCATCCCAGATCAACAAAATTATTTTTGATGGATTAGCCTTAAGAGTCCTATATAGAACAATCCAAGCTTACATGATTGGGACTAATGTGGTTCAGAGTCAGAACAAGGTGAAAGAAAGAAATAGTGATACTTTGTAAGTATTTTAAAAAAAAAAGAACAGTTGTTAAGCACACCATTTGTTTCTATAGCAAATTCGAAGTGACGTGTTGTTTGTAGCTGCTACAAACTATCTATCAATCAGATCTCTATTGGCGCAATAATATAAAGTTTAACAGGATACTCCGTAGGCTCTATATTTGACATAAATGAAATAACATATCTTATAGTTCTAATAGAATAGACATGAAGACAGAGAGATAATGACACGTAGTAGTATTATTTATTCATCACAAAGCAAGAAAGAAATCATAATCCATCTTACCTCCCCATTGTATGCATTAACAAATGCATCAATGCGTGAAAAACCTTCCAATCCCAATGTGTTGGCTACAATTTCAATTCGCTGCTTACATTTTTGCAAAGCTTCATTACTGGAAAAAAGAAAATATTGCAAAATTGCTAAAAGCATTATAGGTGATGAAAGTACTGCACATAAGAATAAGGAAAACAGTTTTATTCATTCACAATTCTATGCCAAAATGATGTAAGATAATCCCGTAGCGTGTTAATTAAAAAAGGAACTATCATCCCCATTAACCTTGTCCGGTTTAATGGGGGTTGACTTAGTGAATAATGATTCCCACTTCATTTATTTTGAGTTCTCTAAGTCGTGAAAACTACTTGAAATTTGTAGTCAAATTAACATTGTTTTACCATTTACTCTAGTAATGTCTTTCAAATTAATTCCATCTACTCTCTTTATTTGTGTATATTTAACTCTCAATGGTTCTTTATCAAACCACCCAAATGTACTTTTGGTAATACCCCGACCTCTTCAGTACACTGATCGCAATATCCTCATAGCTTTGTAGCACATCCATCTTAATATTTGCTTCTCTTCAATAGCTTTACCCTCGGCAAACTTTTTTCTGCCTATTGATTTTGGTAAGTACAACATTGTTGGAACTAAGCCTATGATAATCTAGTATCAAAAATAGCCTTTAGTCACGACTTCATTACAAACCGCTCAATGTTCATCAACAATCCGCAATTAATACATAATAAAACCAAATATCAATGCCAATCATGTTTCAAAATTGATCGTAAGACTTAAAAATTGAAACTGAAACGTAGAGGTGTGTCAGGGTACAATTTAAAAGAAAAAAAAGGTAATGAGACGTGCCTCATGTTTGCGAGACGAGGTATATGCCTAAATTTTTTTTCACTTATTTTATTTTCATATTTTTCTGGCCTATGCATTATCATTCCGTACTTGGGAAGTAAACATTACATCTAATTGATTCCTCACTCGATGATGCTTTGTAAATATTACATCTAATCCCATGCAGCTGTTTAGGAAGGATTTTTGAGAGAGTTAGGAGGGAAATTTGAATGTAGGGACTGTTTAGAGATTTCCTTGTGGATTGTATGCAATAAATAGTTTGTTTTCCTAGGGTTAGGGCATCTTGAATTTGGGCTAAATTTGATATCTCTTAGTTTCTTTGGGCTCTAGCAGCGTCTAGAGATTTGGGAGAGAAAGATCCTCCTCTCGAATGGAGGATCAACTGCATCTTGGTGTTTTCCATTTTCCTTTAATAAAATAATATAAATTATCTACTGTTTTTGTGTTTTTGTGTGGAGTTTTGTGGAGAATTCTCACTGTTTTCTGAGGATTGATAGGAAATACTTGAGATCTACAATAATTTTAAAAACTCTATTCAACTATTTAAAAGCAATTGCCCTTTCAATAACCCTATTAGCTCCTTAAAAAATTCATTTCTCCATCTAATAAAACTAAATTCATAAACATAACTTTTAAAAAATAGCATGCAACCCAGCAGAAGAAAATTATTGCTGGTGGCAACATCATATGACAAAAAAAGTGAACTGTGACATTAGAATTATTTAAAAAAACACGGAATTTTATATGCTAAAACAAGTTTCACTGTTTCAATTATTTTTGTTCTCATCATCATAATAGCATAATAAAATACTTAAGCAGAAAAAGACTATATAAACTCAGAAAGTATTACAGACCTAATAATCGTTGTTGGAGGCGGTGTCAAATTGATGCCAGTTCCACCTGTGATAAAAATTCTTCATTGGTATCTAACATTATGAATATTATTGCATAGCCACATAGGAAATTCAAAAATATTCAAGTTTTGAATAAGTAATGGTCATCAGAATGAGCAGTACATGATACAACATAAAAATAATTTCCATATTTTTAATAGATAGTCCTTCCTAGTTATGTTTGAATACAATGTGAAAATGGTTTAATGATTAATAGTTCAAAGGGACACAAATGGAAACTATTTTTTACATGTATTGTAATAATGTGGTTTTGATGAGCATAGTATTAGGTGGAGAGATAGATGCTGATCCTCAAGTGTAAGGATGCATAATTGCATTAAAGCATTATTTTGTGCAGTGGTTTAACAAACATGTACTAGAAAATTAATAAACTTGCTGTACGTAGGAAAACATAAAACTAGGAGAGTTCTCCATAGTTGAAAATTGGTGCATGTTTATTTAGTATATCTTAAAACATTGTGCTCATTTCCGTTTATAAATAGGGCGGATCCCTTGTGAATAAAACTATTAATTTTTATTTTCTAGTCAACATGGTATCAAAGCAAGAAAACCACTCCCATGCGCCCGCAATCTAGAAGCCAACCTACTCTAACCTTGATTCTAATTCCGACAAGTGAACCCATCCCGTCCCAATTACACACCCTCAATCTCAACCCCACTACCTAATTGCAACACCTGCTACACTCAATTTCATGATCAATGCCGCACCATTGCAAATTACATGCCCACATCATCCACATGTTGCCCATCTCACAACCGCACTGACCACTCACTGCACGATCACTCTATGCACTTAGGGCTCGCCAGCCACATATAACTCTTATGCCCACAATCACATGCAACCCATGTATGATCCAACAACAGTCACTCTCTCTCAACCACCGCACACCAGTTTGCACTCGTGACCACATTGACACTCCTTAGCACCCATATGCATATTTCCTTATACTATAGCCATACACTGCCCACACTAATGTTCACTTACTTGGGCACGACCACTTACTGCGTCTCCTATTTTCAATGATTTGACTTAACTCTCAACTTTCATGACTGCTGATCAGTCGACCGACACCACACATGATCCACATTCTCCCTAACAACGCTCCAACTACTCTACTCACGTAACTCCCTCACGCTCTCGACTCCTCAAAACCAAACTGACACACACAAGTCCTCAACGCTTAGGGGTGTCAATTTCGGGTCACAGGGCTGAGTTCGGGTTTAACACGGAACTGACCCGACACTATTCGGGTTTACGTCAACCTGACCCGACACTGTGCACGCGACGCGACAGTACGACAGCCGAGGCATCGACAGAGGTGCCGGTGAGGCAGTGGGCCCGGTGCAAGTGGCGATTCGATGGCTTGATGCGACACGACGCGACTCGATGGGTCCACGCAATGCGGGCAGTGGGCTAGGCGGGGCAGCCGAGACAAGCAAGGAAGGAGGGGTAGGCGGGCAGTCGGGGCCGAGAGTGTTGACCCTAATACTAGTGTCGGGATCGAGTCGATCGCGCAAGGTGGGTTTCAAAAGCGAAAGAGCTCGAAATCGTGCAAAAACTCACTCGACGCGTGTCGACTGAAAATCCAAAATTCCCGAGATAACCTCCGTTTGCGAAACGAATAGCGCCGATGCGTCCGGAGTAACATAAATAGCTAAGATCGACACCCATATTGATAGGGGTCGCTGGTCGACAAAAATTTAAATTTTGGACATGCTAATCGAGGCGACGACTTGTGCGAGCGACGACGCAGAGACCAACTCGATGTAAGATTAAAATTTTTATTTTTATTTTTTGCAATATAATTAATTTTTTTAGAAAGAGAGGGAGAGAAAGAGAGCTTTTTATATAAAAAATGGATTTTCTTTAAATAAAAAAACTCAAAAAATACCCTAAATACACACTTAAACCCCTCATCCAAACTCCCTCTCATTCTCACTATCCAACTCACGCAAGGAGCCGTCCCCCCCTCTCCCCATTCGCCTCTCTTGCGATCCAACCGCCGGCTTCCTCCCTCCAAGGTTCTCCAAGGTAAATTTCTTCTCTTTCTCCTTCTTCTTCTTCTCCTCCATTCTTCTTCCTTTCTTCTTCTTCTTATTCTTCTTCCTTCCGTCTTCTTCTTCTCCATTTTTCTTTTTTAATCTTCATCCCTTCATATTTCACACCATTTCCTTCCATTTTCCTCTCATCTCTTCTCCTTCCTCTCCTTCATATTCTTCTTCTTTCTTCATCACATTTTCTCAAAACCTACAACCAATCCTAACCCTAAATTTTTTATTTCTCCACATCCATTACTCAAACCACACATGCCCTTCACAAAAAAACATTTCCCTACACCTTCTACACCCTCTCAATAAAAAAAAACCATCATCCTCCAATTTCTCTCTCTAGTCTAGAGACAGAAAATTTTCTCTCTAGAAAGAGAGAAATTCTCTCATAAATATCTCCCTTTCGATCCCAAGCATCTCTCCTCTCCACCATGCCTCCAAATTCCCTTCCTAGAGAAAAAAATTCCAAGCTCTCTCTTTCTCTCCAAAATTGAAAAGAGAGGGGTTTTCTCTCTCTAAATCTCTCCCCCCATTTCCTTATAGGTCGAGTGCTATATAGATGACCTTGTCGTCAAAAGTCTAGGCCGAAAAGATCACTTAAATGACCTGAGGATTGTATTTGAGACAATTATAAGGTTTGATCTGAAAATGAACCCTCTTAAATGCGCCTTCGGTGTATCATCAGGGAAATTCCTGGGGTATGTCATTCGTCACTGAGGAATTGAGGTCGACTCCAACAAAATCAAGGCGATTACGGAGATGCCGCTGCCCAGAAACCTCCATCAACTTCGTTCATTACAAGGACAACTAGCTTTCATTCGACGATTCATATCGAATCTGTCGGATAGGTGCCAACTATTTTCAAAGTTGATGAAGAAAGATGTCTGCTTTAAATGGGATGAAGAATGCCAATAAGCATTTGACTTATTGAACCCTCTTATTCTTGCGGCACCAATTCCGGGAAAGTCTCTTATACTGTATACGACAGAATTAGAAGTCACTCGGAGCACTATTGGCCCAACATAACGAAGAAGGCAAGAAAAATGCGCTATGCTAAAACAGTCGAAGATTGATTGAAGCGAAAATCTGCTATTCCCTAATTGAGAAGCATTGTTTGGCATTGATCTTGCAGTTAAGAAGCTCCGCCACTACATGCTTTCTCACAAGATTACCTTAATATCAAAGATCGATCCGCAGAAGTTCTTAATGACAAGACTAGCGTTGACAGGTCATTTAGCCAGGTGGGCAGTGATATTACTACAGTTTGATATTACGTACATGCCATAGAAGACGGTAAAAGGACAAGCTTTGGCAGATTTCCTCGCTGCACATCCAATCCCATTAGACTCTCCACTCAACGATGATTGCCTGATAAGCAAATCATGCAGATCGAAGAGAATGAAAAATCATTTTGGGAGATGTATTTCGACGGGGCATCATCGATAAACCTGCCCGACCTCCAAATCTTGCAAGGGCCCGAGCCGGCATCGGTCTCATCTTCATAGCACATGAATGAGGCATAATGAGATTTTCATTCAGTTTGACTAAACCTCGGACAAACAATGAAGCCGAATACGAAGCTCTAATAGCAGGACTGGAGATTGCGATCGACATCAAAATTCAAAATCTTCAAATCTTCGGCGACTCTCAACTTGTGATAAATCTAGATTTAGGTCTCAAGACTGCTACATTTGGTCTCGTAGTATGCCAAAAATAGTAGATAGGTCCCTCCTCTTCAAGGACTATAAATCCTACTTATCTGCATCATAGGGATGACGCCACCTCCATCATTCTCTCACGCATGTGTTGAGTGCTTGATTTCTTTTGTCCAGTTTCTCCTTAGTACCCTAGATCCTCTGAATGCTGGTGTGAACCCTGTATGTGGATTTAGCCATTTGAGACCTTTCTTTCTTTTTGAGTAGGACTTCTTAGTCTATACCCTTGTGCTAATCCCACTTTAAAAGGGATAATGTATGATCCTTAATCGAGAGTCTTCTCGGGCTCCGGCCTAAGATGTAATTAACTATAGGGGCTTGCGCCCGTGGGAAACATGACCCCACTTCTAATAAACCACGCTCGAGCTATTGTATATAGTGGGGGAAACCTGTTTTGATCAGGTCATGTATATTACTACTCATCGGGTGTGTTGGCGAGAGCCTCTATCTTCAATGGTTAGTCGTGTGGACGATCTAATCTGCCCTATGCTGTTGACCTTAGGTCCGAGTAGGAAGAAATTCCGGCAAAGGCCATCCCGATTTCTCCCTTGGTGGGGGGAGACGCCGGGAGGCTGCCGAAATTTCCTCAAAATCCAAAGCGAAATTCAATTTGAATATTAAATTAGCTAAAATATCAAAATTGATTTTTAAATATTAATTAACTAATTTAGTTAATTAAGATTTAATAAAATTAATCTGATTAAGTTTAATCAAAATATTTGATTGATTAAGATCTTTAAAGTCTCCTATATCATTGAATGTGTGGGAACAGAGAACCAACAAGCACTCATTCTTTTCCTGTCCCTCTAATCCAAATGTTTATTTTAAGAGCTTTTGAAATTCAAAATTTTTAAAATTTAAAAGTTATTTAAAATATGATAGTAATTTCAAAATCTGAGAACAACTTTGAAATCCGAGAGCTGTTATTTTTTTATATATATTTATACATTTTGATTAGTTAAATTAATTAATCAAAATTGAGTTCTTTCTTAAAAAAAATATCTAAAATTTATTCTTCCTTAATAAAGAGTTCTCTCTTACATAGTAGGATGGGTAACTAATTATGAGTGTTTGCGCTCATAGGAAGTAAGAACCCCAGATCTTTAAACCCTGACACTACCCTCAGGGAAAATCTGGTTAATTTCAATCTGACTTAAGAGAAATGGAATCCTAGAGTTGCAAAGTAGGATTCATGCATTCATGCCATTTTTCTTAAGCCCACAGAAATGAAAGTTATAATAATGTGTAATAGCTGGTAATATGTGACTAAGTAATAGTTTATTTTGAAAATGTGATAATAATGTGTAATGTGTAATATGCTTTATTTTGAAAATGTGACCGAGTAAAAGTGGTTGTTATTACTATAACAATAATGTGATAATAATGTGTAAAAGGCAGGAAAATATTTGTTGACCAGCTAATTGGAGATTGATTGACTTGTACAGGATAGTGGGCTGACGGACATTCGTTTAAATACTATTATTAAATTGTTATTGATACTACTATTGATTAACTATTACCATTATTGTTATTGATTTATTGTACTAATACTAAGCATATGATTAAGATACTAATTTGATAATGATTTTGAACAACTGGATAGCATATATACATCATTATTGGGTATTACTGCATTGATATGGTTCCGATAGGCTTTATTGATGCTTTGATTTTACCGTTTTATACAATTTCTTTACTGGTTGATATTACCGATACGACAACTACTTTATTAATTCGCTGCCTATACTAGTTTATTGGCTTCCCCATTATACTGTTTTACTTACTTTCGTACCGTACTATTTTACTATTTATAAATTCTACTACGATTGAATGTGTAATAGCTGGTAATATGTGACTAAGTAAAAGCTTTATTTTGAAAATGTGATAATAATGTGTAATGTGTAATATGCTTTATTTTGAAAATGTGACTAAGTAATAGCTGGTTGTTATTACTATAAAAATAATGTGTAAAAGACAAGTAAAGATTGGTTGACCAGTTGATTGAGATTGATTGACTTGTACAGGATAGTGGACCGACGGACATTCGTTTTAATACTATTATTAAACTGTTATTGATACTACTATTGATTAACTATTACTAGTATTGTTATTGATTCATTGTATTAATACTAAGCATGTGATTAAGATATTGATTTGATAATGATATTGAACAACTTGACATCATATGTACATCATTATAGGGTATTACTTCATTGATAAGATTCTGATAGGCTTTACTGATGCTTTGATTTTACCGTTTTATACAATTTCTTTATTGATTGATATTACTGATACAACAACTGCTTTATCAATTCGCCACCTATACTAGTTTATTGGCTTCGCCATTATATTGTTTTACTGACTTTCGTATCGTACTATTTTACTATTTATAAATTCTACTTCTACTGAATGCGAGTTTTACTATTTCTCCACTGATTCTTAATCATATAATTGTTATTAATATGAATTAACTAACGACATACATAATACTTCTTTATCATGCTTTGAATTCAGCTATAAGATCTTAGTGACATGTAGGGCTATTTATTTCATTATATATGGTATAAATGATTTCAAGTCAAGGAAGAGATTCAGGAGTGTGAGACTGATAGAGTTTTCTCAGGTCTTGTTTCTTTTTATTTAGTTATTCTTTTGTACTCAGGAATGAAAGAATATATTATGATTATATGATTCATGAGTATTGTAAATGATTTATTTTTTGGTCAATAAATATAGATGTGTATTGATATTTTGAATTATAAAATTTATTTCCATTTTTATTACTGATAAATGAAATTAGATAGCTCAGATTATTGTATCATAAAAGATAAAAGAAAGAATTTTTTTAAATTAAATTCTGAGGCGTGACACTTATAACTCTGTTTAAGAGTTTCTTGGTGTTTTGTTTATAATGGGGCTTATAGCTCTACTTAAGAGTTGCCTGATAATTTCGTTTAAAATAGGGTTAATACACTGTTTAAGAGTTGCCTAGGGATTTTTGGTTTGAAATAGGACTTACTGCTTCACTTTGAAGCTAGTACACAATTTAGTTTGAAATAGTGCTTACTGCTTCACTTAGAAGTTACCTAAAAATTTGATTAAGAATATGGTTTATTTTTTCATTTAGAAGTTGCTTGTAGATTTAGTTAAGTGTAAGACTTATGGCTTAACTTAGAAATTACCTGTAGATTTAATTTAGAACATATGGCTTCAATTAGAAGTTACTTGTAGATTTAATTGAGGGTAAGACTTATGGCTTCAATTAAAAGTTGCCTATTAATTCAACTTAGGATTTGCTACTTCACTTAAAAGCTCCCTAATAAGTTGGTTAAAATAGGTCTTACCGCTTCATTTAGAAGTAGCCAGTTAATTTGAATAATTTTGAGTTAATTCACCTAGAAGATCCCTAATAAAATAGTTAAGATAGAAATTATTTCTTCACTTAGAAGTCACCTATCAACTTGGTTCCAGGGTTCTTTAATTCACTTAGAAGCTCCCCTAACAAATTAATTAAGAATAGGTCTTACTGCTTTCTTTAAAAGTAGCCTGTGAATTTGATTTAGCATAGGACTTATGAGTTCAATTAGAAATTGCTTGCCAATTTAGTTTAAAATAGGGCTTATTATTTCACTTAGATGTTATTTATTAAGCTTGAGGTAGGGTTTGCTGCTTCAAATAGAAATTTTCAAGTGGTTTGATTTAGAGCGAATTTAAAAGCAGATAACTTAATTTTGCACTTTCTTCTGCCTTAGCACTGTTGTGTTGTTTCACGAAACGAGATGTCCCTCCGCTTTCTTTTTTTTTCCAACAACTCACTGCAATTTCACGAAACATTTTTTCCTCCTAAATGTTGCTAGGAGTAATTCAACTATCCCCTCCCCCCCAACCCAATTGCTCAGCATGTTTCCGCAAATAGTCTAACTCTGCTTACTACCATAGCTTCCTCCTTCAAATCAATTACTATTTATAGAGAAAAAAAAACATTGGCCTTCCTTAGCAATTTAAAAAATCATTCTCAGCTTTTCATAAGATATCTTCCACTGGATGCCCTACAGATATCTATATGGAAATGTCATGGATTTTGATTTCCTGCACTCTTCCACCACTACTCTAAACAATAGTACTATTGGTTGGGTCATTCTCCTCCCAACAGACTTCGCAATTATCTATTTCATCGTCTCTCTACAGGTTTAATATTAATGCATGTGAGTTGGATGAATTTCATCGTGTCTTTCTCTTCTTCTACCGCTAGTGATCAGAATTTTCCTTTGGAACTAGTTCATAAGGATATTAATGTTCCTAGCCATGTTGTTAGTCACCTAGGATTCCGGTATTTTATCACATTCATTAATTCCTAGCCATGATTATTCTAGGGACACTTATGTATGCTTGTTCGAATTTCTAACAAATGTCCTTCATGCATTTCAAATTGTTGTCAAGAAATAAAATTCAGCTTTCTACTTTAACCAAAATTTTATGTGCTGATAATGATACAGAATTTATGTAATCATAGTTTCACATTTTCTATTTGAAAATGGTATATCGAACTTTTTTTCCCAAAGCTTTTCAATATAATGGTGTTACTGAAATAAAAAACTAGCACCTGCTTGATGTTTCCTACACATTAATGATCATATAAATGCTCTTCAAGTTTTGGGAAGACGTAATCATGATCACCTACTATCTCATTAACCAAGCTCCTTCTCCAAAATAATTTTTCATCCATCCATCTTCTTTATATCTATCTATCCTCATTCTCTCTTATATCTCGGATATTTGATTGTCTGCTTTATTCATACTTTTCATTAGCATGTTTTCTTATAGTGCCATTCAAAGTTCACTTCTCAATTTTTTGCACTCAAAAAGGAAATATATTTTATAATCCTCTTATATAATGCTTATGCACTTCGGCCACTAATATGTTTCAAGAGACCATACCTTTCTTTTCTCACTCTAAGTCATCTTCACCACTTGAAGGCAAGCATTAACATACATAAGATCAAGTTAATTGATAAATATTCTCTAGCACGAGGGTTATTATTAAAATACATAAACATTAAAATAGGAATGCTCTCGATATTTGAATTGATGTGGTTTATTTGGGTGTACTATAAGCTATACTAATTGCCACGTTATAAATTATTGGGGATGGTTTCTTTAGTAAATAAGACAAAAACCATTTTCTCCACAACACTCTACATAAATAGTAACGTTAATCAAGTGTCATGCTTTAAAGTTTATGGAGTATTGTTGCTATTCAACGAAACTAACCATTGCAATGAATTTTTTTCCTGCATTCCGGTACTATTAAACATCTAATTTAACTTTTAAAGTAAAAAAAATTCCTTAAATAATATATAAGTCCTATAGCTACACTTATGACGCAAAGCATGTAATTTTCACGAAACACTGACAAAGCCAATTTCATAAATTAAACCAATACATTAATCAAACTAGTAGATAAAAAAAACATAAGAAGAAATTGGAACCACATAGTTAAACTTTATACTTACCTTGAAATTTCTCTTCGAGTGATAGAATGTCACCAGTTTCTTTAACAGTAATACTAGGGCTCAATGAGTGCATATCTCCTTTCCGACCCATAACACCTACTGTAACTTCAACCCATTCATTCTGTCCTTTCCATGTTAGATGGCGGGTATTCCCACCAGCTGATTTGTGCGAAATCACTATTTCATCAGTTTCGACAAATGGCTCGAATATGAAAAATTTTGATGTAGGGTTTGGCATCTCTATTACACCATGTGCCTAATAAGATTATAACTCTTAAGGTGACAATTTTAACGGGAAATACACTCACAAATAAATCTGCATACAAATGTCTAGAAGAATCTAATTTTAAGATAGACAGTTTACGTTAGGCTTTCACCAGCTTGAAGCTGGTGACTAATAATCTAGCAAAAGATGAGATTTCTGTTACACTTACATGTTTCTATTTATTTTTTGAAGTGTGAAAATCTAGGGGACATATTTTAAGAAAGTTCGATAACATCAGGTCCTTTATCGATTTCAGACCCAAGAACCTATGGAGAAGAATAAACAATAGTTTATATCTTCATGTATGATTTGTATCAAAATGAGAGATTATGCTGACCTTAGACAAACTATTAGCAGTAAGTCGTGGAAGACAGCTTTCTAAGGCACTCACATAAACTTCCAGGTCCTCCTTACATCTGCAAAAGCAGCAACATGGTAAAACAAATACAAACAGCGTGTGTAACTGTTATTAAGCAAACATTAGGCATGAAAGTTAGCCAGATCTAATAGGATATGAGTAAACCTCAGCCTAGCAACTCCAGTTGAGCATCCATCCCGAGCAGGCTTCACACACAATGTTTCAGACTGAAGCTTAGTAGTCAAGTCATGCCAATTTATGGGAATAGATGAATTTATTAGTTCATCTGTCCTCTTCAACTCCTTGGGTATTGTAAATATTCCCAGATTTTGCATCTGTAACCAATAATGAGCATAAGCAGATTAAAACACAATAAAATAACTCAAGAATTAACTAGATACAGATGATTAAATTTCATATCAGGCACATGCCACAAATCATCACTAACACATACTGCAACGATTTTATGAACTTCTTTTGACACAGAACTTGACTACTTTTAAAAAATACTTACTATTCATATTTAATATTTTGAAATTCCACATATTAGGAAGCATTTCCGCTTTCTATAGAATAAAACAGAAAACTCCCACGTAGTAAACCCTTCTTATAGTACACCATTCCAAGATTTTATGCCCGTCCCAAGGAATAAAAGAAGTGACCACGACTCTGGTTACCAACTAAGACTAGAGAGAACCCCTTCATAGAGGATGTGGTCATTGTAGGCATAGAAAATTCAGGCCTCGACCTCTACTGAGAGAGTTTGGAGTGCTTCCGGGTTAAATTTTAGAAGGCAAATTAAACTGAAGATAAGACACTCCATAATAATTTCATCTTAATTTTGTGAAGACAGTATGATCTGATTCCATATTTTCTCTAGGCGTAAGCCCCTATGGTTGATTACTCATTCCGATGATAAGAGAAAACTTTTAATTAAGACTAATCATTGGATAGGAAAACTAAGTGCTTAGCGTATAATGGCAGCAAATTCAGAATAAGTTGTGAAATTTACCAGCTTAAACCATTAAGTGGGTGACATGGGCCTTCTTTTTTAAAAATATTTCTCATCAAAGACAAAATTGAAGGATGTTGTAGATGAATTTGGTTTTCATTGCTTTGATTAGGGCCATTTTTGTGCTGAGGCAAATCACAAAGCTTTTCTTAGATCAAATTTATGCAGCATGCTGCACAATATGCTCCATATAGATACTTTTCCTTCTCCACTAAATTATTGCCAGCTTTCTATAAGCATTAGCATTATCTCACAACTTATGCCACCAAATACTCTCAAATCTCATTTAACATTCCATCAAGTAGACCAAAAATATACGCTGCATCCCAGACCTGATCAAATGCTCCTACAGATTTTAAAAAATAATGTCAAAGGTATTGTTAATCAAAATTCTATTCTTTCTGTAAGACCAATCATCATACAAGATTGTCACTCCAGTCTGACTCTAAGTCCTTTTTAACTTTCTGAATGACTTTTTAAGTGTTGTTCAACTTCTCCTTCAAGACCCAAGTCCTCAAACCAAACAACAACTATAATCCAGGCCTCAACTATAAGCACCTATGGAACATATCTGATGTAGAACAGGAGGGGGGTAATTAAAAAAAATTAAAGAGCTAAAATTTCATCTCATATTTTCCTTAATTAATGGATTTGAATTTAAAATTCAAATACAAAAAAGAGGGAGGGAAGAGAGGAATTAATTATCTCCTTAATTTGGGCCTTCAATTAGGAAGGGAATAATTAGGATAGAGGGGAGAGAGAGGGGTCGGCCTAATGAGGGAAAGGAAAGGTGTCCACATACAATGTATGTGGATCCAAGCATTAATGGGAGATTGGAGAGTTAAATTTGAAATAATTTCAGATTTAATATGATTGAAGGATTTCCTAAAATAGATGTATGTTATTTAGGAAAGAAAACTTTCCAAATAAGATAGGAGCTAATTTAGGAAAGTAATGATGGTGAAATGAAATTGGAATTAAGGGATTAATTAATCAATCAATTTTAAAATTGATTAATTAATTGAATGAAAGAGGTTACCAAAAATAAGATTATTAATGAGGATGGATGATAAGAAGGAGGTGGCCGACAGTTTTGTGGAAGAGGTGTTTATGGGAGAATCGGTCGGTGGAAAGTGGGGATTTTGGCCGGCGGTTAAGGGAGGAGGAGAAAAGGATTTAGGGAAAGAAATATACAACAGTGAGCCTGGACACGTCCTTCAACTGACGGGTACTATGTTGCCCTTCTCCAAGGGACTTCAAGCCACGAGGCCGGACCCATCCTGCAACTGGTGGAAGCTACGAATTCCCTCCCAAAAGAATCTCACCAAAGTTCTCTCTAAAGAACACAAGTGCAAACAAAATTTTATTAATAATCCATCATCATAATACAAGAGCAAGGGCCTTTATATATAGGCCTCAAAACAAAAGAAATTAAAAAAAAAACTTTGCCCCTTGGGCTTACATAATATAAGACTCTTAAATAAGGGTAAAAATGAGAAATGCAAAATTAAATCAAAATACAATTAATAAACTAAGATAAAAAAGAAGTGATCTCGACCGTTGATCTTTATCTCTTCCATTGAGTAACGTCCACCATCGGATGTCCGCATCATTCTCCCAGGGTGGAAAAGAGCTCGACTAAGTCGAGTTCGCACGCCGGGCAACCATGCTCTGATACCAAACAGATGTAGAACGGGAGGGGGGTAGTTAAAAAAAATTAAAGAGCTAAAATTTCATCTCATATTTTCCTTAATTAATGGATTTGAATTTAAAACTCAAATACAAAAAAAGAGGGAAGAGAGGAATTAATTATCTCCTTAATTTGGGCCTTTAATTAAGAAGGGAATAATTAGGATAGAGGGGAGATAGAGGGGTCGGCCTAATGAAGAGGGAAAGGAAAGGTGTCCATGCATTAATGGGAGATTGGAGAGTTAAATCTGAAATAATTTTAGATTTAATATGATTGAAGGATTTTCTAAAATAGATGTATGCTATTTAGGAAAGAATTTAAAACTCAAATTCATTTGAATTTGAATTCGAAAATTTCCAAATAAGATAGGAGCTAATTTAGGAAAGTAATGATGGTGAAATGAAATTGGAATTAAGGGATTAATTAATCAATCAATTTTAAAATTGATTAATTAATTGAATGAAAGAGGTTACCAAAAATAAGATTATTAATGAAGATGGGTTTGAAATTCAAATTAGGTTAATTTGAATTTAAAATCTTTCCAAATTACTGACAACTTAAGGAAATAGATTTTTTTTTTTTAGGGAGGTGGGGGGCTAAGGAAGGAGGTGGCCGACAGTTTTGTGGAACAGGAGGTTTTTATGGGAGAATCGGCCGGTGGAAAGTGGGGGATTTTGGCCGGCAGTCAAGGGAGGAGGAGAAAAAGATTTAGGGAAAGAAAGATACAACCATGAACCCGGACACATCCTGCAACTGACGGGTACTACGTTGCCCTTCTCCAAGGGACTTCAAGCCACGAGCCTGGACCCATCCTGCAGCTGGTGGAAGCTAGGAATTCCCTCCCATAGGAAACAAGAATTGCTTGGGGATTTTAATTAAGATGATTAAAATTTTACTAGTTATAGAATTAATGCTTACCCAAGTTAGGTTTTCAAAATTCTCAAGTCAAAATTATGTAAGGCATGTGGTTACAACTAGATTAACGAGACAATATCAAATTGACAACATATAAATAGAGAGTAATGTTATGGCGAGAAACAATAATCCACGGGTAACAAATAGAACTTTTCACTTTGGGTCCCTCACTCACGCTCTTGACAGTGGAGCTTTAGCAGAGGAAGATTGAGAGCAAACCGAGTTATGCCGCTAGGAGACAAATGGCGCCCAAAGTATAGTCCGTTAGAGAAAGTAGCCGGAGGCGGGTAATCCACGGGATGACTAGTGAGCATCAAAGTCCGAGAAGAATAAAATCCGTGGTCGATCTCAGGATCGGCCATGCACCGATGACGATGAGGTTGGGGGAGGAGGTCGTCTTCTTCTCTTGGCTTCAAAGTTCCAAAGGAAGGGAGCAAGAAGAGGGTGGCCAAGGTGGAGAAAGGGGAGAGGGGAAGGGGTCGGCTTGAAGGGAGGGGAGGTGGCTAGGGTTTGAGGAGGGTTAGGTTGAGTGAGGGTGATGATAGAATTTAATCAAAATCTGAAGTTAATTTTAGATTTTGATTAAGTTTGGAGGGAATTGATTTGAATTTAAATTTCAAATCAATTGTAATTAAAGCCTTGAATGGGGAGTTAATGAGAGGGGCACAATTAAGGGGGTCGGCGGCTTATAGAGAGAGGGAAAGGGATTCAAATCTCAATCCTGAAATTAATTTCCGGATTAAGTTGGGAAGAGATTAATTTGAAATTTGATTTCAAATTAATGCGCAATTAATGCATTAATGGGATTTAATGGGAGGAGGCCCCATGTATGGCCGGCGGCATAGAGAGAGGGGGAGGGGATTGGGCAAGGATTTTGGGAGCTTCCAAAGGAGAAAGGTGAATTAGGAAGGTTATTAATAAATCTAATCTATTTTGAAATTAGTTTGGGATCATGCATAACACTTTCCTAAATAGGAATTTCAAAATTGAAAAGAATTTGAAATTCAAAATTTGAATTTCAAACTTGAATTAAATCATTTCTAATTTTATGTAGGGTAAAGAAGTAAAATAATGATGGCATTGAGATCACCATCATGAGGGGAAAATGATGGGGTGGCCGACGGCATGGCTACTCTCTCAAAATTGCGCAATTGCGCAACAGAGGCGCGCCTCAGCCTACGTGAGGCGTACGCCTCACCACAGCCCGCAATTGCGCACGCCTTGAGGCATTTTTTGCAAGAATTGCGTAGAGGCGCGCCTCAAGGCGCGCCTCTTATTGCGCAATTTTAAACAATGTACTACATAAAATGACTCAAAATAAAACCCTTGATCATGGTCATCGATCTCTGGCGTCTCCAATGGTACACGTGTCGAAATCGCTGACGATGTCCTCATCAATATCATATTAAAATAATAATATGAGGTTGTAACATTGAATGGAATGATATTCTCAAAGAAGAATTTTCTAATGTCCACGCAAACATGTATGTCTTTCTAACATTCTCAAGAGAATTCTTCTAAGCTATCATCTCGCCTTCATTCGTATCATCACCCAAATTTATCATATAGTGGTCCATGAGACCACTTGCACCTCTACTTAACATTGGCGGCAAAGCTGATGAGAAATCCTTATCATTGCACTCACTCCCAAAAAAAGATCCAAAAATAATTATATTATTAAATTATTGGTGTGCTTATTTTGATATTTTCATCTTGTTCACATGTGCTTCAAGCTCTTCTTTCACTGTTTCGGGCAACTTAGCACATTGATTTTTTGGGTCAAGTTCGGGTTGAATTTTCGGGTCGTGACACTTATTGACACCCAAAGATCAATAAACACTTTCTTCAAGTCACAACAGTCCATGCAAAGGATTGGGAGACACAAAAGGAAGCTCTCGATGAACTAGCTTTCTTCTAGACCTAGTTTGACCCAAAAAAAAACTCTCTGAGCATTTAAACCTCAAGCAACCACTCAAACTTCAAATCACCTCTCCACACATTAACCTAACCATCCAAAGTCACTCCTTTCATAAGAACCCCCTCTAGCCTTTCCCATATATTCCTAAACCTAAAATAAGAGCTCACAGTTTGAACCCATTCCAAGAGAATCGACATCCACCAGCACTACTTCATTATGACTATCTTCCCAAACATCCTTTCCCTCATCATTGTGAACAATATCCAACCTTTCCCCCAAGGCTAGATAAAAATCCTAATTCTTTTTCTATTGGTGTCAATAGGGATTATAAGACTTCTACCCGCAGCAAGACAAGCTTCTAAGCTGTTCAAATCCTCCCAACTAAAATTATCATAATTCACGAAAATATTTGATGGTCAGCAGAAACCCAATAACTTAACTAATTAGATGTTCTAACAAGTCCTAAAAGCAATAATTATGGCATTGTTTATTGATGTTCCAAAAATATATTCTGCTGGTGCTTCGTATTAAATTGCTATGTGTATTTTTCTACACAAGATAGAACCTTGTTATATAAGCATCTGATTAGCAACATTTTCAAATATGTATGTCAATGTGCTTTCATGGTTCATTATTTTACAGACAAATACCAAAACTCAAAAACAACCTTTCATACTGATATGATTTCATTTAGGAGCTGATTGGTTGAGCCACAAGTGGATGTAAAACAGTCAAAACGCATAAAAACTTCATATTTTTCGTTCAAGATGAAGATTATTTAGTTAACATAAGACTCCTGCTGTATGAATATTCACTCAACTTCTTCCAATGTAAAGCATACGCATCTAAGAACAATTATTTGGAGTTGTTTTTTTTTTTTTTGTCTTTGTGTGTATGATGTGCAGAACATACGCACACAATCAATAAGGCCTTTACACAATCAAACCATGCACCCAGGCCAAACTCGTTAACATTATAGGTAGAACATTTAAAATAAACGGCACAACATGTATCAAGTATGAAATTTCAACAGCACTAACATTCCAGATAACTAGCCAGTAATTTCATTACTGTACCTGTGCAAGGGCAAGAGATGTTGACACTTTATCCATGCAAGTATTTGAAGCCATCAGGCCAGGACCTGAAAATTTTAAAACTATTAACTCCATCAAGATTACACTGAAACTACACAACAAACATAAAACTTGCTTTAAAAGACGAACCCGTGTATGGAACTCCTGCAGTCTCTAACAAAGATTGTAGGGTCCCATCCTCCCCAATACCACCGTGCACTGGGAAACATTATTGGCAACATAGAAGGCATGAAATAGAAAACCTAATTGTCCCAACTATAAGTGAATATAACAGAAATTAAAGCAGCAATTCCAATGAACATGCAAGTACACCCGAATTGATACTAAAAATCAAATTTTCCTTAAAGATGCAAATGAAAACACACGTGGAAAGTAAGGAAAATGCACTGTTATTTCCTCAAAAAGACCAAAAGATCAAATAAAACATGAAAAAGAAAGTTAAAAATTGGGAACATAACAAATGGGAAAAAAATAAATAAATGATTCTTCACGGTTTGAAATGAGGAAAATAAATTTGCTTTGCTTTTAACAAACAAAAATCAATTTTTTTTACTAGGGTGACTGGTTCTTTATGATACTACATCACAATGTTAAGAACCATCCAACATGAAGTTTCTATATTTGAAAATTTTGCACAATTGGTCAAAAAGTTTTTTTTATTATTAATTTTCATTTCGGTTGGAATTGGGACTAGAGCAATGTGCAGAAGTACAAAGCACTAAATGAATTGAAGATTTGGTACAACACAACAACATCAAGCCTTTGTCCCACTATGTGGGGTCGGCTACATGAATCCTTTTTCTCCATTGTGTCATGTTAAAAGTTAAATTCTCGCTTAAATATAATAAAGAAAGATCATTTCTAATATTTTCTAACCAAGAGTTTTTAGGTCTACCTCTACCTTTCTTAACATAAGTCAAATATAATACCTCTACTTTCCTAACCGAGTCATCGAAAGGCCGCTGTTTCATGTGACCAAACCATCTAAGGCGACTCTCTCTAATCTTATCTTCCACTGGAGCTACTCCAAACTTTTCACGTATATGCTCATTTCGTATCCTATCTCTAAGGGTAAAACCACTCATCCACCTGAGCATCCTCATCCTGCAACACTTAACTTAGTATTATACTTCTCTTTTAATGGACAACATTTGACACCATAAAGCATTGCAGGTCTCACCACCATCTTATAGAATTTTTCCTTAAGTTTGAGGTGGACTTTTCTATCACACAACAAGGCCGATGCATTCCTCCACTTCAACCATCCAACTTACATTTTGCTGATAACATCCCCATCTATATCATCATCACTTTGAATAATAGAATCCAAGATATCTAAAACGTGTACTCTTATTAAGGACTTGATCACCTAAAAGTCGCAATCCCCTAACTAGGTATATTGATACTAAAATTACATTCCATATATTCAGTTTTAGATCTACTCAAGCGAAAACCTTTAGACTCTCAGGTTGACCTCCATAATTCAAGTATACCTTCAACTCCCTCTCTAGTCTTATTAACAAGAAGAATATCAGCAAAAAGCATACTGATACGACCTAGGGTTCCCAAGTTTGAGTTTTCCCTAATGCTCATTCAAGGAAAAGATTTCTCCTCCAAATCAAGGAAAAAATCAACACAAGAGGGATGAGATGAAGAACCAAAACAATAATATCGCATCATGTTAACTACAGCTGTTCATTTTGTTCGATTTCTTATTCGTCAAGGGATATCCATCCGTGGGCGCGCATGATGAATCATATAACTTAGATAACCAAGAAAATTATATAAAACTATTTCTGTTTCTTGCAAATCATAACAAAAAAGTCAGAAAAGTTGCATTTAAGGAAACCATTGGTAAGTAAAATATTTATTTGATATTACTTCAAGAGTTATAAATACTGTTGGAGCCTCATGCAAGAGAGATGATACTCTAAAAGTTATTCAACGTGATAAAATAGTTTTTATTTAAGCACTGAAGAGTTAATTAATGGTCGATATTTCAACTAAGAAACTAATTTGCAGTGCTCTGGCGACACCCGTTGGAGTTCGCATTTTCAAACATTAATCAGTCCAACAAAAATGAATGCTTCTGTATTCAAAGTACTTGAAATTGTCAAGGAATATAGGATACATGATGCTGGGGACATCAGATCATCATGGAAAGTTTACCAGCGACGTGGCCGTCGATCTACGGCCACGATCGTTTCGTTATATTTTTGAGTCGATGTATTTTATTTTCATGCATTTTATTATTTGCTTATGTGTGTTTATTTATTTTCCCTTTGTAACCTTTTGTATGGGAGTGGTCATGTGTAAGCCTAAGGGAAATTATGTCATGTCAGTTAGAGTCTTTTGTATGAGGCTATTTAAAGCCTCTTTGTTTTATTTTCAAGGCAATGAATGATTATTAAGAAATTTGCCTACGCTTGTGTTTGAGAGCCTTGAGAGTTCTAATGGAGAAAACTTCCTAGGAGAGGAAGAAGTTTGGCGCAATACCCACCAACCTAGATAAGTCGGGTTCGTGGTTTCTTTCGTTTATCACGTTTTCTTCTCGTTCCGTTATTTCTCCCATATCTTCTCCCTCGTCACCTAGCCGCCGGTGTCCCTAGCACCCGAATTCCCTCACCACCAATCCCTCTCAATTTCACGGCCAAACCCATGCTCAAATCCCCATGCCGCCGACCTCCATCTCCCTAACCGCCGATCCACTCTCCACTTATCCCATTCAAGCTTGTCTCCTATTTTAGGTTGAGTTGAATGTGGGTAGATTTGAAATTCAAAATTAATCTTTGAGAATTTCAAAATCTTTCCTAATTTAATAAATCTACTTTAGGAAAGTTCCTTAATTCCATCAATTTGAATTTCAAATTCAACTTGAATTTAATTAAGAAATTTCCCTTTTCTCCTAGCCTTTTATCTCCCAAAATCTTCTCCACAAATTCCTCTTTGGCTTCTCTAGCTGCCGGCCCAGTAAACAATTCCAGAGAATTGTTTCCTAAACTACACCCACCTTTTGGGAAACAATTTGAAAACCTCCTCATGGCCGAATCCTCCTGCTGCTTTGTTTTAATTATTTCCTAAACAAATCCCTAGCTTTTGGAAGTAATTTCAGATCTCCATAATTTTCTGCCTGGGCCGAATCCACTCAAGCCCACTTCATTATTTTCCTAAAATGGCATTCTAAACTAGGAAGTAATTCCCTGGACACGTTCTCTCACGTACCCGTCAGCCTTCCCATTGGAATTTCTCTCAGAAATTCTCTCCTAGTGCTGATTTTCCTGTGAGAAAATCTGGGAACTCCTTACTGGTTGCTGGCCGAATTTTCTCAGGGCTAGTCTTGGATCTCTCCACTAAGTTCTCATAGTCTACTCATGAGAATCTGAAACTGATTTCAGATTTCAGCCATTGGTTCTTTCCCCTACCAAAAGGCAAGAGAAGTTTCTTTCTTGTCAAGATATCCGTGTACATCATCAACGAGAAGGAGATTGATCATACTATTGAGAATTGCTAGTAATTTTGTTCCGAAATTGTTCTAATCTAATAGTTGTGCAATGCCTAAATGAATCCATTAGCATGTCATCTAATTAGTCCTGCATCACTCACTCTCTTAATTCCTCTATAATTCACACAATCTTGTGCAACACCTTTATCTTAAAAATAAGAATTAACATACTCATTCTTCACCCATCTGGCATCTTTTTAGTCTTCAAAACATAATTAAAAAGTTTAATAAGCCAAGAAATTCCTTCATCTCCTAAGCATTTCCACACCTCTATTGGAATATCATCAGGTCCAACAGCTTTTCCACACTTCATTTTCTTTAAAGTCTCTCTAACTTCGGTTTTACTAATATGCCGATAAAAAAACAAATCTTTATTTTCATTTACAGTGTTGAAGTCACTAAAGTCAATCGTATTTTCACAATCTACATTAAAAAGTTTAGCAAAATATCTTATCCACCTTTGTTGAATATCATAATCTAAGAAAAGTACTTTTTGATCTTCATCCTTAATACACTTCACTTGAACTAAATCCTTACTACTCATATCTCTTTGTTTGGTTAACTTATACATATATATTTCTCCCTCAATATATAATCTATTATATAAATCATTAAATGCTAAAATATTTGCATCGCATATTTCTTTCTTAGATTCCTTACGTGCCTCTTTATATATATCCCAATTATCATAATTTTTATATCTAAACAATTTTTTATAACAATGCACATTAGGATTCCACCGCCAATTATTTTTACTATTATGAGCATTTCCCTTTCATACTCCTAGTACATCTTTTGCAATATTCTTAATATCACTAGCCACTTTTTCCTACATAACATTACCATCCTCATGCACAGACAAAATCTTAAGATTTAAAATCTTACTCTCAAAAGTATTATTGTTAAAATTCTTTAAATACCCCATCTAATCCTAGAAAATCGATTTGGTGCATACAGAAAATCATGACGTCCATCCATGAAATAAACTATGGTATAATAACTTAATAATGAAAAAAAAAATCAACCAAATGAATATTATTGCTTATAAAATAATTTATAAGAAACAAAATAAAAGATTCTAAACACAAGGACGGTCTTTTGACTAATTATGAAATATGTTGTGTCCGTGCATCTATTCTTATCTATAAGAGTGCACGAATATCTTTAGAACTACTGTGTCCATGCATCTCATAATAGCTGGCTAGACGAATTCGGTCAACCGAGGTCAAACATAGCACCTAAGAGGGCGAGAAGGCGAGGCGAGATGTGCGAAGCATGCTAGCCAAGGAGCTCAATTGGGCCACGCGAGCAGCACAACTGTGACGAGGAAGGACCAAACGCGACTCCTCAATATCTATTAATTCTATATATTTGCCAATAAGAGAACATTTATTTCAAGTTCCTATTATAATTCTAATTTCATGGACTAACTTTACTTACACTCATCCATGATGTGAGAACTTTTGCTTATTTAACACTACACCCGATGGCTAGTGCAACAACCCTTGCACAATTTTTGCTATATTCAAGACATATGGCAATCACTTTCAAAAATGTCATAACATTAACATAATATATTAAAAGATTCATGACATGATTGTTCCACAAGTTTTACGCTAGTTGTCAAATACCTACATTTTTCTCATCCAGCAGTTGGGACCCGGCAATAGCTATTTACAGATGTAATTCCTCAACA